GGGCAACCAGTGGGGAAGAGGCTGGTAACTAACATAGCAGGTGAGGGCACTGGGAGTCTACATTTAACTTCTCACAGTCGGACGGGCGCATGTGAAGGCTTCCATTCTGTATGGAATTAGCGGCTCCTCTCTTCGTGCTGCATTTAACAGCACTTAAAACAAAACATGAATAAGATATCAAATGAAAGAGAGAACCAGCCAGACAGTGTAGGTAAGGGCAGGCTACGCCATCAGTCCAGATGTGAAATGATGCCAGCACAAAGACAGCCCATGATTAGGAAACACGCTACGAGAAACTATGCGGCCGAAAGACCACCGTAAACCGAGCAGGATGGGCTCTTAGTAAAGTAAACAACTTTTCCTTCCGAGTCCAGATGCAACCTCGACAGAAGCACCCAGACTTTGAGTCCCGACTTCAAGAAGCAAAGGAAGGAGCGGCTAAAGTAGAGAGGTCAGGCATGTGGAAAGGTAATAAGTACTTCACCGCCAAGTCCCCTAGCCAAGTTCAGGTCAGGCACCAGGAATGTGTTTCTGGAATCGGTATGCAACGAGCGCGTCACTGCAGCGTGGGCACAGGTGCAGTGTGGCGCTCGGGCACCTGGGGTGGGACGCGCGGACCGTCTGGTTACCTGGTAGCCCTCCGTCTTCTTCTGACACCACTTCAGCAAGGCATTCCTCTTGGACCCCCCATATTCTCTCGCCAAGGCTGACAGGGGGTCCTTCCTTTCTTCCCTGTAAGTGAAGACAAGAACAAACACCGAAGCATTTTTAAGTGGAGTGTGAGAATAAAACCAGAAATGCAGCACAAAGTGAGACAAGAGCCATACTCGTCCGTCCTCCTAACACGATAAACGCACACACCAACCATACGTGGTCACAGCAGTCCATGTGCAGCCTCAAAAAGAGTGACCACGGGGTCTTGGCTCTGTGAAGGCCAAGAGGGATTCTCCTATTCATCCATGCAACTGGGCACAGTGCAACCGTGGCCGGGCACGGTGTGACTGCAGCCAGGCACAGTGCAACCGTGGCCGGGCACGGTGTGCCTGCCCCAGTGTTGAAATGCCTCCAGGGGCCTCAGAAGCGGGAGGACCACGTCCTAACTGATGGAGCCTGAAAGTGGACGTCTTTCATTATCTTACCGTTGGATGATCTTTTTTCTTTTTCCTTCACCCAAGCTAATATGCGTCTACCCTCTAGCTCATGCTTTACCTTCCCTTCCCCTCCCACCTAAGGTCACCATCAAAGAATGTTCCTTTTTGTGTCAAACACTTTTCTTAACTTTCTACATAGTGGTCTCCCACAATATTTGTCCTTTTGTGATTAACTTACTGCACTCAGCACAACAGGCTCCAGGTTCAACCACGTATAAGATGTTTTGCAGACTGATCATTGTTTTTTAATGTTGTGTAGTATTTCTTCC